TGCGTGATGAGAACATTTGCCGCAGAGTTGGACTCCAGCTGGACGTCATCTTCAGTTTCCATGACCCCAGCCAGAGTCTGAGGAAAAGTGTCCCTGATGGCGGCCGACACCTCTTCCTCTGTGACGCAGCTCTGGCTTTGAATCTTCTGCCCGACCACGTCCGAAATGGTCAGAACGATTTCGTGTAGAATCTCTATTCCGATGGCGGTGGTGTCTTGGTCCGGGTCCCCGGACATCAGGCTGAGCCAGTGGCTCTGGGTGAACCTCCTACAGTAGGACTCAACCCTGGATCCAATCAGGTCCGCAGGATCTTCCTCTGGGATCCTATCAGTGTGTGAGCTGCTTGTTCCTTCCATGACAAACTGTATGGGAAAACTTTGCGCGGTATTTTGGGAGATCTTAGAAAAACGTTTGACCGATACAAGTGTGTGAACCAATCTGGTCAGTTCCAGCTGCGGGGTTCTATTTATAGACTCCGGTATGACATCACAGACATCAAAGCACCAGCCTGTGACATCACAGATGGATAAGCCCGCCCCCTGGAGCAATGTCACCATGGCCTGACCCACTGGTGATGTCAATGGAATGGATACCCTTCAAGCCCCGCCCCCAACTGATTCCTGTTGCTAGGTGACAAGAATCAGAATCAGAATAAGGTTTATTGCCAAGTAAGTTTTTAGACTTACAAGGAATTTGACTTGGTGTTTGGTGCACAACACAACACTTTTATGAGAAGCAAGAAAAGAAATAAAATGTAGAAATAAAAATATGTTCCTGTTGCTAGGTGACAATAATCAGCAGCCTAATAATTCCAATGACTGAATAGAAACAAGAAATAGTGATTCTATTTGCCATGTAAACATTTTGACAGGAGAATAATTGAATTGAATTGAATTGAAAGCCTTTATTGTCATTGTACACAGTACAATGAGATTTGGAGAGCAGCTCCGTAAAGTGGACACATAAATAACACATACATACATATACAATACATTAGTACAACTGGAGTACTAGATGTTGATTTAGTAAGGTGACAGCTTTGGGGAAGAAGCTATCCCTGAGTCTGTTTGTTTTGGTCCGTATTGACCTGAAGCGCCTGCCTGAGGGCAACAGGTTGAAGAAATGGAAGCCGGGGTGGGTGGTGTCCCTCAGGATGTTTCTGGCCCTGCTGAGACAACGGGAGTTGTAGATGGCAGTCAAAGAGGGCAGAGGGCAGCCGATAATTTTTTCTGCAGTGTTTGTCACTCTCTGCAGTCGTTTCCTATCAGCCTCCGTGCAGCTGGAGTGCCATACTGTCACAGCATAGGTCAGCAGGCTCTCGATGGTGGAGCGGTAGAAGGTCACCAGCAGCTGAGGTTTTAGTTGTTCCTTCCTGAGCACCCTTAGGAAGTGTAGCCGCTGCTGGGCCTTCATGACCAGAGCTGTGGTGTTGCCTGACCAGGAGAGGTCTGCAGAGATGTGGATGCCAAGGAATTTGAAGGACTCCACTCGTTCTACACATCCACCGTTGATGTACAGGGGGGCAGGGGCGGCTTTCTTCCGTCTGAAGTCCAGGATGAGTTCCTTAGTCTTGTTGATGTTTAGTGCCAGGTTGTTTGATGCACACCACTCGCCAAGTTTCAGGACCTCATCTCTGTAGGCCGCCTCGTTTTCCCCTGTAATCAGCCCCACCACCGTTGTGTCATCAGCGAACTTGATGATGATGTTCTCTGGGTGGGCGGGACTGCAGTCGGATGTGTAGAGGGAGTAGAGTAATGGGCTCAGCACGCAGCCCTGTGGAGAGCCAGTGCTGAGAGTGCGGGAAGAAGAGAGGTGAGGACCCAGTTTCACCTGCTGGGGTCGGTTGACCAAAAAGTTCTTTATCCAGGAGCAGGTGGGTGGTGGGACCCCCAGGTCGGTTAGCTTAGGGATCAGAATGTCCGGTATTATTGTGTTAAAAGCTGAGCTAAAGTCAATGAAAAGCATCCTGACGTAGCTCTCCCGTTGCTCCAGGTGACTCAGCGCTGAGTGGAGAGCGATGGCTATGGCGTCTTCGGTGGATCTGTTAGTCCGGTATGCAAACTGGTGCTGATCCAGGGTGGGGGGGAGACAGGCTTTTATGTGTCTCAAAACCAGTTTCTCTAGGCATTTGGTGATGACTGGAGTGAGTGCAATGGGGCGGAAGTCATTGAGGCTGGTCGTGGGTGACTTTTTAGGGATCGGGATGATTATAGCAGACTTCAAGCAGGGTGGGATGACAGCTTGTTGCAGAGATATGTTGAATATGTCTGTGAAGACCTGTGATAACTGCCAAGCACATGCCTTGAGCACCTTCCCAGGTACTCCATCTGGACCTGCAGCCTTCCTGGGGTTCACTGCACAGAGCACCCGCCACACGTCCTGTGCCTTAAGAGTAAGTGGGGGGGAGGAGGTGTGCTGGGGGGCTGGTTGAAGTTGTGGTGGTTGTTGGAGTGATGAGGTTGGATGCTGTGTGTGAGACTCAAAGCGGGCAAAGAAGCTGTTCAGCTCCTCTGCCAGTCCCGCATCCAAGTTCCCGGGTGTCACGGCACAGCCTTTGTAGTTGGTGATGGTCTGTATGCCCCGCCACACTTGCCTTGGATTGTTTAGATGTTCCTCTATCCTCCTCTTATATTCACCTTTGGCAGTCCTAATGCCTCTCTTCAGGTTGGCACGAGCGGCGCTGTACAATGCTCTGTCGCCTGACCTGAAGGCTGAGTCACGGGCCCGGAGGAGCATACGGACCTGGCGCGTCATCCAGGGTTTCTGGTTTGGGAACACCCAGATCCTCTTTTCAACAGTGACATTCCCAATACAGTACTTGATGTAGGACAGTACTGCATCTGTGAATATTTCCAGGTCTTCGTGATAGAAGGCTTCCCACTGTGTATTTTCGAAGCAGTCCTGTAGTCGGGGGAGGGCGTCCTCAGGCCAGGTGGTGATGGTCTTAGTATGATGGTCCAATGACCAACTTAGTGTCATCAAGACACTAAGTTGGTCATTGGGAGTGAAAGAATGTTAAAGAATGTAAAAATTGAAATCAAATTGAAACCGGGGGCTGGTTCATGGGCTGACCAGCTGTAGAGGTGACCATAACGCTTACCCTGTGTGGGCCTGGAGGAGCTCAGCTCCCTTCCTGCTTGTAGTTTGTGAAAAGTAAGAAAGGCAGGGTTCATGTGTTTGTGGGAAACATTTTCTGTTAAATTTACCAAAGTGGTTAGTTTGGATGCGGTAGACCCAAATAAAAGTCCCTCCAGCCGAGTGTTGATTCCCAAACAGAGCAAAGTGTAGGCGCCATATGCCCATTTATGTACATTTATGTATATTTATGTGTATTTTTAATTTATTTGTTTATGTGAATTTATGTCATTTAAATTAATGAGTGACATTAATAATTTAAGTTAAAAATATTTATTGTCTTTGTAAAATTGACACGGCAGAAGAAAGGTTGGTGCCTCACGGTTTTTCTGACCGTGTTACGCTCGTGTTATGCCCGTGCCATGCACGTGACGTGCTCGTTTTGTCATTTTACACTTAGATTCGTGACATTTTAGGAAGTATATATTTTATTTGTGTTCGTTTTTGTTATCGCCTTTGTTTCAAAATAAAAGTGCAAAAACGTGACGTCAGTGGAAACTATTTTCAGCCACAAAGCTCCAACCTATAAAGAATTTTATGAAGACTTTCGAAAATACCCTACACAAAGTGTTCGGTTGGCATCACAGTGAGGGGCAGTAACGTGGTACACTGATCTAATTTAAGTTAAATGAAGCAGAACTTATTTTTAAAACAGCTGAAAACTAGTGATCAGCTCATGGAACCGTGACATCGAGGGTCGGGGTTATGTTCTGGACTGGGACACTATGTGGAACAACATACCCATCTCATCATAATAATAAAGACATCAGCTTATTCATTATAAGTTTGTACACAAACCATACAGACGCTTTACACTGAAATTAACAGACAATCCCGGCTGTATAAAACGTGCTCTGAACATTGACGTCACATATCTTCATATTTTGTGGGAATGTAACTCTGTGCCTATCCTATGGTCCAGGGTGCGTGCTTTGAAAATCTTTTTGGATTTCCCATTCCTATGCCAATTGGTTTTGTTTTACTTTATCTTGCTCTACTTCTCCTCTTTCTATTTACTTGTGTGAACCATGTAAATGCGTACATATGGATGTCTGTGTATGTGTCTTAAGTGGGAAGCCAATGGCACTATGTTTGTACATTTTTCAATAAAATAAAAAAAACAAACATCTCAATTTAAAAAAAAAAAAGAATTTTCAAATTCAAGACATTTCAGATTTTCAGTGAATGAGAAAACAAATAAGTGAAACAGTGACTCAAAAGTAATTTTCATGGTTTTATTGAAATTTTGAACATTTACAGGTGTAAAATTGCAGAAACCAAAGCAAACATACATTTTGAAATGAACAGGGAAAAAAAAATTGAAAATGAAAACCGTTTGACAGAAACTGAAAATACAAACATCATATTTGACCCCAAACTGCTGTCAAATTAAGACTCCCGCTTTGGGATATTGTTCTCTTCCAGGATATAAACTCCACTCAAAGCACAATTTTTAAGAAAAAACAATAATTGTAACTATATCGGTGGCTTCATACTTCTGGACGGGAACAAAATTATACCTTAAAACGTAGGAACATTTCTCCTCTTTCAGCCAATGTAACTTGGCTGAAAGAGGAGTCAGAGCTCTACCACCAAGATTACACAGAAAATCCATTCAAAAATCCCACTAACAACTTGTTCAGCTCTGAAAAGTCTCCCATTTTGAAATGGGAGGCTCCCGTTGGGCCATTTCTGGCTCAATTTAAAAAAGAAAAACACTGTCACGATCCTGAATCTCATTTAACTTGGATTCACTTACTTGGAGCTTCACTTCTGCCCCTTTTACAAAAAACAGATACGCCTTTCAGCCATTTTCAAGCATTAAGATTACTTTTGGCTTTCTAAACTTTTCAACTTTTTAAATGATTTAACTTTTTCTGCTTTTTGGCTCTCATTGAAATCAATATATGCTCGTCTGCTCTTCTCAATGACGTGAATATAGTCTCTGCTCGAATAATATAGTCAGTGATAGTTTCATTGCTAGCCTTCTGCAGTGAGGAAAGTTCACAATATAAACTCACAACCAGTGTTGGGTAAGTTACTTTAAAAATGTAATCCGTTACAGTTACAAGTTACCTTGTTTAAAATGTAATTGTAGTGTAACTTTTTCGATTACTTTTAAAAAGTAATGTAACTAATTACGTTTGATTACTTTTTGATTACTTTAAGGTTTTAATGAGTATGGACCCATGATTAATTTTAGCATGTTATTATTAGCTATTGGCCGCAGCTAGCAGTTCAAGGCTAACGTCTGGTATCGAATACTTTTTAAAATGAGTATCGTATCCGGATACAACATTTTAGTATCTATACTTTTTTAAGTATCGATACTTTTGACAACCCTAGTCTGAAATGTAGGACATGTCCGGTAAAAAGAAGAGTTTGGTAGGCTAGGTAGGCTAGTCTAGGTCATAGACATCGATAAACGTTTGTCAAGCATCAACACCAAACAGTCAAATATTAGTAAATCAATACGCTTCGCCTATCAGTGAGTTGCATATTTTGCAAAGGTTTTTCTTTATATTTGTAAAAAAATGTAACTAAATTTGTAATTCTTAATATTTTCGGAAGTAACTGTAACTGAATTACATATTTTCTCATTGTAACTGTAACGAATTACAGTTACTCTTTTTTTGTAATTAAATTACGTAACGTCGTTACATGTAATCCGTTACTCCCCAACACTGCTCACAACTTGGGGTTTGTCTTTTCCCGCATAGTGTTCGCGGAGAATCTCCAGCGCTCTTCTTCCGTCACGTCTCTCATTACCAATGACAAACTCTTGTTGTCCAGACATTGCACTAGCTCTGCATATGCCTCACCGTTCTTTGCCTCATCTTCCGCGAGAGCTTCTACGTCATCTGCGGGTATCTGCGGGCAGTGTTGGGGAGTAACGGATTACATGTAACGACGTTGCGTAATTTAATTACAAAAAAAGAGTAACTTTAATTCGCTACAGTTACAATGACAAAATATGGAATTGAGTTACAGTTACTTCAGAAAATATTAAGAATTACAAATTTAGTTACATTTTTTTAAAAATATAAAGAAAAACCTTTGCAAAATATGCAACTCACTGATAGACGAAGCGTATTGATTTACTAATATTTGACTGTTTGGTGTTGATGCATGACAAACGTTTATTGATGTCTGTGACCTAGCCTAGCCTAGCCTAGCCTACCCAACTCTTCTTTTTACCGGACATGTCCTACATTTCAGACTAGGGTTGTCAAAAGTATCGCTACTTAAAAAAGTATAGATACTAAAATGTTGTATCCGGATACGACTGACTTGTCTATGATTTATTTACGTATTCATTTACGTTGTTTATGATCATTAACCAGACGTTAGCCTTGAACTGCTAGCTGCGGCCAATAGCTAATAATAACATGCTAAAATTAATCATGGGTCAATACTCATTAAAACCTTAAAGTAATCAAAAAGTAATCAAAAGTAATTGGTTACATTACTTTTTAAAACTAATCGAAAAAGTTACACTACAATTACATTTTAAACCAGGTAACTTGTAACTGTAACGGATTACATTTTTAAAGTAACTTACCCAACACTGTCTGCGGGTCCTCCAAGATAACCTCTCTGAGGCCGCGCAACTCCATGTGCGCGAGAAACCTTGTTTCCCAGAGTTCGTCATTTTTCTCGTCACCGTCGAATAAAAGTCTGAGCCATCTTTGGCCTGCATGACTGGGCCCATAACCTGTAACGTTAGACATTTCTGCAGCAGTCTGTCGTTTTAGCAGTCACCAAAATGGTTAACTAGTACCTCCTTGTATTCTAATATTCGCGGGAGAAATAATGACGGACGGCCATCGTCTCTTTGGTCCGGGAACTCACCTGACCGTTTATTGCGCATGCTCACAAATAACATTGCCGTATGACGTCACTACGTACGCTATATTACATGGCTTTGTCACTTATATTATTAACAATAGTCAACAGACATATCCTGATCATTTGTTCATGCGAATTGTTCTTCCAATTGCTCAACTAAAGTCCACCGTTGGCGGGAGTTTTATTGACTTTGTTTATTTTGCTGTTTGATGTCTGGGTCGCTAGCATGAGGGTGGCTAGCATGCTAGCGTGGGCTGAGGGAGTAGTAGTTTTTGGTTGAATATAGTCTTTATCTTTGTCTTTATTTAGCTTCCTGCAGAGTTTTACTGTCTCCGCAGAGCACACGCTACCTCTTTAACTTTGTGTTGTCTGGGGAGATATATAGTGGACATTTAGGGGTCGTAGTAGAAGAAGAAACAACCAAGGAACGGGAATACTTGTCCCAAAGCTAATGGAAAGGCGGAAAACGAGGAGAAACCCTGAGCTTTCCCAGCTGGAAGTGGAGCCTCCAGGTTGGTTTGTGTCATGATCAGTGTGATGCTGTGTGGACCTGATCTTTATTCATTGTGTTTGTCCAGCAGACCATGGAACAGGATTAGTTCCAGATTGGGTCTCTTTCTCTTCATGTTCCTGTTTGTTTCTCCCATGAGGAGCATTTCCCAGCTAGCGTGGGGTTGTACATCTCCTGTTCCTTTGGTGTGTTTCCGGTTTCAGCTGTTGGGGAAAAGCAGCAGAAGTGAGAGCGAATAAAGCCTAAAATCCTCTGAAGCTCCAGAACCAGCAGAGGGACCAACAGGGACCGTGGAGAGGAGAGTCCCAGGTGGAGCGGGGATGCCTGGAAGGAGGAGCCTCCATCCAGATGAGCCCAATGGTGGTAAATTTCACATCTGAAGGGAAAATGAATGGGCACATTTTTTCCTCTATGTGTACACTTTCACGTAATGAAGGGGTTTGAATGTTAATATAAAAGAAAACTGACTATTATAATAGTAACACCACAAAATGTGATCAGTCGGAGGCTTTTGCGTGGAGTACCAGCTTGTCTTTTTTTCATTGTTGATAACAAATATCATGGTTGAGACAAGCTAACTCATTATGATATAATAAATGCCTTAGACTAAAAACATCTTTTCGTAGATTTGTGTAAGGCATTTGATTCTGTCAACCACCAACTACTTTTAGCCAGACTCTGCAAGCTTGGAATAAGTGACTAGAGTGGTTTAAAAACTATCTCTCAGACAGAACACAATGCATCTACGTGGACGGACTTAAATCTGACTTTTTGGAAGTGACTAAGGGAGTTCCTCAAGGTTCAATTTTGGCACCTGCCCTGTTCACTATTTTTATAAATGACATTGGAAATAACTTGAAATCTGTTAAATTCACCTCTATGCCGATGACCCCATAATATATTCAATTGCCTCTTCAGTTTTAATCGCTTTGAATGATCTTCAGTCTGCTTTCCATCAACTTCAGGTCTCCCTACATCAGCTGAAGTTGGTCCTAAATGTAAAAAAGACACAATTCATGACATTCACTAAAGCTTGCTCCCAAAACTCTCAGCATCACGGCATTAAGACCTTAAGTGGAGAAGCAATTGAGATCGTGTCCTGTTGTAAGTACCTGGGTATCTGGATAGATGATAAATTGTCTTTCACAAGACATTTAGATAATATGGTAAAAAACTGAAAGCCCTGCTTGGCTTTTACTACAGACAAAAGTCCTCTTTGATTCCCTCAGTGAGGAAAAGACTTGTTCAGACCACCTTCCTTCCTGTTCTGGACTATGGAGACATCATATATATGAAAGGCGAAAGAAGGCGGTTCTTGAGATTTGCTTAATGTGAGAAACGACATGTCCGGATCAAAGATAACTCCAAGATTTCTCACAGTGGTGCTAACTTGCATG